CCCAATTGAAAAGAAATTAAGAGCCTGCAACTTCTTGGAGTTGTATCCATCTGCATAGGGTAAATGCAATGCATGAGTACAACGGGTTTTGATATAAACATTTTAGCCCTATTTGTACATGGTACTTATTTTACTGTCAGACAAATAAAACCACACTTGGGGCTGTGCTCTTACGTTAGGCCATTCCAGTCAGCAAACAGACGGAAGGAACACCTCCTCCTCACAAGAAAAGACACAAAAAACAGGTGATGTGGCTCATTGTACTAGCTCACTTTAGCTGCTTGGCACGTGCTTATTGCAGTTCACAGTCTCCTGTAACTCTCTGACCCATCACAGACTTTCTGGCTTAATCACCCATTGCCCACATTCCGGCACTAAAAATGAATTTCACTGCTCTCTGTACTCTTGGTTCTGTCACCATCCCATTGTTTCACACTGTCAGATGAAACGTGCAATGACTATTTCACTCATACCGAGACTGATCATGCTAGTGTGGCTTTGAAGGATGAGGGTATTTATTTTATGTTGCTCGTGTATTTGCTGCAGTGTTCATAGTAATAAATCTCTACATATCTTTGATACATATAGGAAAATGTAAGATGTAAATTAGTACTTAATAAGAGCAGATTATTAATTAGTGTGCTTAAGTGTTTAAAGAGTTACAATTTCAAGCAAAGTATAATCTTAACTCATAACAATTATATTTATAAATACATCAAAATCATCTCTTTTGCTTCCTTAGTTGAGGAAAATCTATGATAAACTTTGTAAATAATGTCCATTTTTCCTTCCTTCCTTTTTCTTTCTTTTTCTGAATTTAGGCTGTAAAATCGGAACCTGAAAAGAAGTCACAATCAACTGAAGTAAGTGTTGTAAGTCAGCTATGGGATATTTGGATTCTTTGCAATAGTAATGAATAATGAAGTTCCTTATTTGCTGGTACTGAATAGTAAAAGGATTTTTGTCAGCTAATTAATTAGGACATGATTTTATAGAGTATATGTAAAATAATTATAACATTAAATTTACATATCACTAAAATTAATGTATACTAATCTATAATAATAAAAGCAAAATATGCTAATTAGATGGGACGACATTCTGGACAAAGCCAGGGCTGTGAGGGAAGCCCGGGTCCTGGGTGCTGGCAGCCGGGGGAATGAAAGCCTACTCTTTCACGAATTTCATGCATTGGGCCTCTAGTTTATAAATAAAGATAATATGCTTCAGAAGGAATTTTGTTCAAATCTATACATTCTTTTATATTGTTTAAAAATAAGCAACAGGAGCAAAGGACAGAGTTCAAAGGGTAATGCGTGTCTAATTACTTTAATGATGAGCTGTCCAGAATAACTGTGTCTGTTGAACCTAGCACCCAGATAACTAAAGCTGAGAGTCTGGCTTACTCCTGACAGTCTTACCTTGGTTGGTAGAACTAGTTGCTTAGGAGACAGCTCTGACTTCCCCTTGGGAGCAGCTTCCCTGGCTTCCTTGACTCAAGGCTGTCTCGACTGAAAGCCAACCTGTGTCCACATGGAGAGTGATCCCGGGGTGTCTGCAGTCACGGCATATGTTCTCATCAATCGGGTGCTGCTCTTTCTTTCTTTCAAGCACACCCAAGCAAATACCCAGGTAAAACCTCAAGGTTTCCTGTGGGAAAGCACAGAGGTGGTTCTGGCTAAAGTACTTTAAGTGCAGGCAAGGGTGAGGTCATCTGGGTAAAAGCTGAGGCTTGCCTCATTTGGTGTGAGGCATCTTGGCTGCCCCCCGAGGATGGTAATTCCATAGTCCGCTTAGAGGAAGAAGTCAACAGCCAGGTGGGGGTTGTCTTCTATTTTATATCTAAATGCTTTAATGTGAGGTCATCTGGGTGAAAGCTGAGGCTTGTCTGATTTGGTGTGAGGTATCTTGGCTGCTCCCTGAGGATGGTAATTCCATAGTCCGCTCTAGAGGAAGAAGTCAACAGCCAGGTTGGGGTTGTCTTCTATTTTATATCTAAATGCTTTTGGTTATCTACCCAATATCAAGAGAATTGCAACACAGAAAAGACTATGTAAATCATTCCATTGAAGAAAATGCACGTTTTTTAAAATCTCCTGTGAAAGGAGATTTTTAAAAAATTAATTTCTAGGGTAGAATCCCCTTTTTTTCCACCGAACTCAGAGGTCACAATGACCACTTGTCATCTCTGTGGATAAACCTGCAGTTACCAAGAGAATTGCATGAATTATGAGAAACAGCCCATAATTTAGAGATAAATACCTATTTGAAAAGTTGTTCTAGGTGAAAACTAAATTTTTTATTATTCTTCTATAATTATCATGATCAGGCTGTTGGTAGGATTGCTGTTGACCAGAAAGCACATGTCTGCTTCTCTAGTTGAGTCATTCTCAAGAGAGGCAGAACGGTCTAATTGGGAATTTTGTTCTTGAGCCTGTTTGGAATTATGAAAACAATGAACTCCAATGTAATTGATATTTTATCTGTTGAAAATGACAGACAC